GGTGCATTTTCTGGTTTAATCAGAGGACGTGGTTGCGGCTGGTAAGGAACGAGGGCCCCTGCACTGTGCAGAAAATGAAAACATTATTAGTGTTCATGACAGGTTTTCACACCCAAAATACTTATTAGCCACTTTAAAAATTATTCTAACCGGCTACTATACATACATACCTCCACGTCCTGGTTGGTGTCCAATCCATGTAACCCCCCCCCCCCTAACAGGCATATCCACCATATCTGGGGCGTTGGTTTGACCAGGTGTTTGGCCCTGCAAAGTTATCACCGTCCCTACATTTTCCACCACAAAATTGTAAATAGATAAATCAAGTAGAGGTTTATGTAAACAATGTAACCGGTATGACATTTAATTAACTATGTTCAAGTAGTTGTTAACCGTATATAACATTTTACATACCGCAAGAACCTTCTCCGGTTTGATGAACATCCATCATGTCAGCATCATCATCAAGTTGGATTATCTCCATTCCTTGTGTTACTCCAGCCCCTGCTTCAGATCCCACGACCCTGTCAGCATACCCCATCTACAAAGCAATACGGTGGAGTAGAACCATCTCTTGCTCTCCAAATATTTTACTCATTACACTCTCACTCATGAGAAGCCTCTCGCTAGAAACCAAACCTACAACATTGGATAGTATATAAAGTCCAAACTAAGTGAGTAGACTATGATATTCAGAGCAAGTAGTTACACCCCATACCTTCGTATCGTGCTCTATCCTCTTCATTCTGACCATCTCCCACCACATAGGTTGAATATCCTATGGTGAAATCAGACCGAGAGAGGAACTGAAATCTTGCAACACTCTTTGCTCCAAACGTAACTAGGAGTGTTATGTCCGACAGAGGTGGTATCTGGCTAATCAAACTGACAAGCTTAAATGTCGTAGCAATAGTCTTCGGGGACGAAGGTCCACTGGGGAAGAACATCCAGTTAGGCATCCCGTAAGTTATCAGAACAGGAGTTTCAGTTCCCAGCATCCAGTGATCCCTCACTGTAGCATCGATCATAGTGAACGTCTCAGGGGAGTCCATGTACATCGTGAAGCCATAGTCTTGATGGTTAGGAACAAAGAACCACTGTTGCTGCTCGTTCTTCTTCCAATCCCCACGCCAAATACGAAAATAACACCAATAAATGCAAAGATTCAACATTGAAGCTCAAGATTCAAAGATATAAAAGCGCTATAGAGAATGTGAAATAAATGCTCGCCAATTTTATTAAAGAAAGAGAGGCTAGCTTTACTCGTTTATAAACATTTAGAGTAGGCTAAGAATGTTCATCATCTTTGACAAAAACTTCTGCAATATGTTCTCAGACCAAAATATTAACCTTCAGTGAGTTCGACTGGGTTTCCTGCAAAACGGAGAAACCGTGTAAGTCTTTTATATAGACTTTCAGACATTGTCTAAAGATATACAATCTTTTAATTAATTAAAAACCCCAAAAAAAATCTGAACAAAATTTTCGTTAGATTTGGTTAGGCCTGCGCCGTTTAGGTCAGAGATTTTTTAATCTACAGTTTAATTGAGGTTATTGATGCAACTCTTCGTAGTGTAAACGTAATCTAGGTGTTATCTTGCCAAATCCCCCCCTCCAAAATATAACTCCTGTGTTAGACCGGTTAACGCTACAATAAATTCGGGAAGAGAAAAAGTAATCCGGGCAGGATAGTTTCGTCATTCGCAAACCACTATTTCATCGCGTAAGTTACACTTTTCTTCGTTTAGGTATTCTCTTAATATATGGGTCTTTCTTTGTTTTTGGCCTAATTACCTCTTTTAAAATCAACTTTTGTTTATTAAATCTGCATTTTTGGGTGCTCAGCTTCCTAAATTTTCTCAGTCAAATGATTGTTTTGACGATGACATTAGTTTTTTTTTGTTTTTTTAGATGACGACATTAGTTTTTGAATGAGCATGTTAATCATTTGTTTTGCTTGTTTCAATAAATCTCCTATATATTAATTAGTAAACATTTTGAAAAGTTTTAACTTTAAGTTTGTATTAACTAAAAATAACCCTATTCTACGTGGCACATCTCTATATCTTCTATTTCAATTTAGAAGGATTCTATAGCACTTCATATAAAGCATAGTTTTAAAACATGGTTCGTTGGTTTCATATAATACATATCAAACAAAATAACATATCAAACTAAATCTCCTATATATTATTTCCTTAAATAAAACCTACGGAATTACCTAATGTGATATAAGATTTATATGACTATTAATGATTTTAAATAATAAAGATTTGTTAACAATATGTATACTTTATATCATTTTTGTTTAATTTTTTATTACTAAAATAAATTACATAACTACACTAATCATATAAACAAAATTTATATTTTTTATATATGTTGTATTTTAAAATTTTCAAAACGAGTATAAATTACTAAAACTGTTAAAAATCTCACATAAACTTTTGTGATCAAAGTCTAATTTTTTTATAATAAATTACAATGATTATAAAATCATATGAATAAATAATTTTATTTTAATAGGTGTTTATGTTAATATATTATATATATATCACATATGAATAAATAATATTATCTTAAACATAATTATAATTTAAAATTTAACTTAATTTTTTTATAAAAAAAGTTATTTAAAAAGGGTTTTTAAAAATATAATTTTCTGATATTATTAGATAAATAAATAAATTATATTGAATTAGTTTTGAAACTTTATATATTCTAAATGAAAATATTTTACCAACTGCTTCTTAAGAAATTATTAGGGAACTTGATAATGTTCTACCAATTAAGCCATGTGACACTCCGTTTATTTTCCATCACTCGAAGACTGAAAAGTAAAAAGATATATGAATCGGACCCATTAAATTCTAAGTTTTGATATATAGTTCTAATTACAATTTTTTCTGATCCTACATATAGATAATTATATAAAAACTCTAAATTCCAAATACATATAAAAACAATCATATGTAAATTTTAAATTTGTCAATACTAAAATTTTATATTTTAATTATATACATTCACCATGCGCAAGACGTAGATCTTTTCCTAATTATTTTGTTAAATGACACTATATATTTATTTTTGTGTAAACAACTTATAGTTTTTTACTTTATAAAGTATAATTTAAAATTTGTTGCAGGCCCAACAGATGCTTAAACCAGCCCTGACTATGAAGCTTCTTGGATTTTGAGTGATCCGATCTTTAGTATCACGCAAAAACCAAGAAGCTCCACAGTTTCTTTGGTCATTAATCCACGAGAAACCGATGTTACATTTAAGAAAACCCGTCAGAAGGAGATCCATGGTGCAATATAGGTGCATTCATGTCAGAAGGAGTATCAACTTTGGGAAAGTTTATTTCAAACCATATAGCTGAATCATCCTCTGCTTTTTTTTATTATAGCTGATGGAGCTACTTGAATTATGTCTCTTCCACAAATGCCACATAATCCAAGGGAAACTCCGTTTGAAGTTCAGCAGACGATCTTCCTTCTGATACACGAAATTAGGTGATGGAGGTAAAAAAAAAACAGAGTCGGTGGAAAACCCTATCTGATGGAAGACTTGGAAGTTATTTATTTTGACCATTTAGTTTGATAAAATAGTGTTGGAACTTAGAAAAAAAATCTTCAAACAGTACGGTTATATTTATAAATGTATCAAGAATTAATCACTTGGTTCGATGGTGTAGTGGTTAGCACTCTGGACTATGAATCCAGTGATCTGGGTTCGACCCCGGTAGGACCTCTTTTGGTATTTACTACTTTTGGAAGTATTTGTCTAACCAAAGAATTGATTTTTTAGATTTCTTACAGTATTTATGAATATTGGTTTCCTCTGTGTAATTATGGGTTTTACGCAATGAAACTGCAAGACAATTTTTTCTTTTTTATTTATATCTTTTCTATTAAAAGAGAAGTACCATTTATATCTACTACAAAATATTATATTGGACTATCTCATTAATATGATATATTTAAGTATTTATATTAATCAATCAAATATATATAATTGGAGCAATATTTTATAATAATAAGATATTAGTAATAAATTTGTTGAGAAAATATCTAACAAGATCTTACTAAGAAGTTTATATATTTTATTAAATATCCATTATTTAATTTCCTGATTAATATATATATATAAGTATCAATATTAATTTTAATTAAAAGTAAAAAATTGCTATATTTCATAATTTTGTTATATTCTACATTATATTAAAATAAAATGCTATGTGAAATGAATATAAAATATATTAAATTGGCAAAAAATATTTTATTTTAAAAAATTTCTTTTATTCAAATAAATAAATAAATATCACTCACTTTTAAAATATATTAAAGTTTTTAAATCATATAATATTTTTATACAAAATGTTAACATATATTTTTGTAACTCACAACAAATACATTATATAAAAAATTATATGTGAATATTTTTTTTATTTTAAAACTTACAACAATATATTATATAAAAATAATTAAAATTATAAGATTATAAAATTATACAATATATAACAATAGAATGTACGTAAATCATATATATTTGAAAGGTTTTGTTATATTTATATAAAATGAAAAAAATACCCGCACGAATGTGCGGGTTCAAAATCTAGTTACTATTTAAAATATCTAACAATATTTTGATATAAATTTAACGAGTTTATTTCAAGTTTTCAACAAAGTATTTATAAATTTGTAGTAACCAACACTGTTTAACCACAAAGAGAAACACAAAAAGTATCATCTTAAGCATGTTTATCCCTATCACCCCTAATGAATTTCTTAATGATTTTTTAATTAATAAAAATAACATAAAAACTTTAGTTAAGAAACTCCCATTGGGCTATTCAAAATGAGAATTTCTTAACTAAAGATTCTTAAAAAAAAATAGCATCAAAATCATTCTTCAGTTTTGTTAAGATGATAACCTGAAGTTCAACATAAATGTAATCAGCTCCTAGTTCCATGGCTAAACGGAGCACATCCAGCCTCTCATATCTTGTGTGAAGCTGCTGCTGCTGCTGTCTCTTCATCATCCAACTCTGATGGCACGTATCTAGAGAGCTGGCTCTTTAACATAAATATTTGGTCTTCTGAGTTTTGTATCTTGTCGTTTGCATCTCTCAGTTCTTGCTCACAAGCATCTCGCATTCTGAGTCTTTCTTTAGCTTCACGGAGCTCAATCTCAAGATCAGCGACCCTCTTGATCAAAGACTGAAAGTCAGAGCCAACACTCACATAACAAGGGTTATTAATCACAGAAGAATCATCAGACTCTAGCTCAGAGTCTGTAACAGAAGCAGAATCATCTCCGTCTTTGTTGTAAATAACAGAGGGAAGTCCTCCAGAGCCAAGGAAGTAGTCAAAACCGGGAGCACGACGGGAAGGAGGACGGCCAAGCCTATTAAGCTCAGTGGTGAGGTCAGAGGAGGAGATGTCAGAGAAGGCTGAACCTTGTGAGTTGTGACTGCAGCTCTAACGGTGAGCTTTTTCTCAGCTCTCCAGTGATGTTCTCGTAACGCTCAGCTAGAGAATGGTACATACGGTGAAACTCATCGACGAGGGTAATAAGTTCAGGTCTCTTTTGGTAATACATCTCTGCCTTCTTGGCAAATGAGTCTGCATCTTCTTCTATCAACTTCACCATCAGTTTCATCCTCTTGTTCATCTCTGATCAAAACCACACAATAAACAATCATGATGAAAAGACTATCCACCCAAGTTGATAACCCTACAAAGCTAATGAACACATGATATAACAGGACAATGACACAATGAGATGGACTAACTAGTGGTAAAGGAAATAAAACAACATGTTATAGAACAGAACGCATCACATATCACATATGAAACACCTCAGATCATATAAATCACTGATTTCAATTACCTTCAAAACCCTAATTAAAATCTAGTAGGAAATAAAGTGAAAAGAAGGAAAAAGACCCAACCTTTATGAGAATGATATCACCACGGAAGAGCTGGAGCTTCTCCCTGGTGGTAGGGTGGAGAGAGACGACGGAGTTGTCATCGTTGATTGCTTCATCGACGACAAGACGAAGAAGACGAGACGGAGAAGAGGGGTCCAGACGAAGAGACGAGAAGAAGACACGGAGAATAGAAAGAGAAAAAAAAAGAAAAAAAAGAAAAAAAAAGAAAAAAAAGAAAAAAAAGAAAAAAAAAGAAAAGAAAAAAACAGAATGATGCTTTGATAGAATTCATATATCTATCTTATTAAAGTAGAAGTACTTTAACCTTTTGTTTAGAAACATGGATAGCAGTATTTAAAATAAGTAAGTTTGGAAACATAGATATCAATATTTAATAAGATCTGGTATTTATTGTTAGAAAGATTTGCTATTTATTTAAAATCGTAAATATAATTAATTTTAGTCACTAACAATATTTAAGAATATTCGTTTTTAACAATAATTCGGGTCGGATTACGGGTCGGATTTCCGGGAATTTTTATTTCGGTTTGAATTTCGGGTCGAATTTTTTGGTTCGAAAAATTGAACCGGACACAAATAAATTTATATAGATAAACAAACAGTTTCTATGTTTCTAGAACTAAAAAATTAAGAACGTAAAGAACCTAATAAAAGCTGAACCGAAAATCACAACCCAGTCCTATTATATTCAATATGATAGTTCACATACAACGTGGATCACAATATCTTAAACACAGTAATAATCGATGAGTTCTGAATTTATTACATTTTTTCAAATTAAGTTAAACCCGCGCCGGTGCGCGGGTCAAGATCTAGTTTTTCTTAAAACCCATGTTAAGCAACAGGGATAAACATGGTCTTAGGCCTCGATAGAAGATGATAAAAATATTAACAGTATGCTGTAGAATCAGTATACTGCATAAGCTGTATGTTTTCATTAAAGTTTTTAATAACATGATTGGCACAGCAGTAGCACTATACAATTTTAAAATTATCACAGTAGTTAGTATAATAATATATATCTTTTAAAATAATATTTAGCTATTTATAAAATATATTAATAATAATTTTTTTCAAAAATAATGAATCCTATTCATTAAATAAATTATATTATATTTTCTATGTGAAATATTATTATTTTTAAAAAAATGTAAAATTTATTTTAAAAATATTAAATTATTTTTTGATATAAATATATTTTCATATTATTAAAAATAGTAATTAGGTATATATAATTCATATATATAAATTATTATTATTTATTATTGGTAGAACAATAAATAATTCATAAATAAAATTATCATTAAAAATTATATGTTATATAATTTATTTATTAGTGTCTAAATAATATATATATATATATATATATATATATATATCTATATATAAATATATAAATATATATTATGTTATGTTTGTTATTAAAAATAATGAACATATAAACTATATTATATTTTAAATGTGATTGTTGTTTAAAAATTAAAATATTTAATTAAATTATTTATTCTTATTTTTAAAAATATAAAAAAAAAATTCTTATAAAAATAAGTTTAAAATTATTAAAAAATAAATAAATTATATATAATTTTTTTAAGTTTTATATATTATATCTACAAATGTTCTCCCAAACGTTTTATATGAGAGCATTGAGCAAAGAGCTTTTGGAGAGCATTAGCATTTTGCAAATGTTTTTATAAATGCTTCTTTGGCAAATGTTGATTGGAAAAGAAAGAAAATAAAGCTTATGCTAATGCTTTACCAATTAAGCCCTTAGATATTGATTTTTTTAGAGGGGATTGCCAAATACAATATATAAATTGATTTAAAATGCAAATGTATACCCAACTTCAATCAAATGAAAAAATAATCTAAAATGTTAGTGATTTTACAACCAACCGCTTATGAACAAACAAAAAAGAAATAGTATTGAGTTTTACCAATATAACTTTGAGCGTGAAAATAGTGATGTAAATTTAGATTTACTAAAATTGAAACATAAATGAGTGAATGTAAGTTGAGTCATGATATTCTATGGATGAAGGTTTGACAACTATGTTATAGTACTATTTATGTTTTTAGGGTTAGGTTGTGGAATTGATTTTTATTAATTTTAAAAAACTAAAGTTAACCTATATGTCTTTTTGTGTATATTAAACACTCGATAAGTTGATTTTAACTTTAATGAAGTTTGTTTGCGATTTAGTTAAATAGTTGATTTAGTGTTTGGAAGACTTCTCAAAATCAAATAATGCACTACTGCACTAGAGGACTTACTTAAAGACTTAACAACAAAGTCTACTATTTCCCTATTAATTTCTAAAAGAATTTAGTTTCCCTGCTAAGTCTTCCAATAAGTTTTCCAGAAAATCTTTCAAAGTCTTCTCATATATTTGATCTTAAAAATAATTTATAAACTTTATAAAAATATTTTGATAGGAAAAATCATAATCATGTACTTATAGACATTCCTTTGGTTTAGGGCTTGGTATAGTATTGTTTGTATTTTTTGGGCTAGATTTTGGAATCTTAAATTTTGTAAAATAAAAATAAATTTGAGTTGTATGTTTTTAATTTTTTGTATATTAAAAAATTTACAATTTAATTTTATGTTTAGTAAAGTGTGTTGTTATTTAGTTAGTTATTTTATTTTAGGGTTTAGATGAGTTATTGGAAAATTTTCTAACAAATAATGTACTAGTAGACTTCAAAGTAAGTCTTCTGGACGAATAATAAATTTAGGATTTAGAAAACTTTGCAGAAAGTCTTCTATTAAAAGACTTAAATGAAAGTTTCCGTATCAAAAGTATTTAACTAATTGGAATTTTTGTTTTCATATATAAAGAAATTTATATATTATCTTTTTTCTTCTCCAATGGCTGCAACAAGAATGTAATGTTTCTCACTCTAAAACTCTTTAAAGTCGACTAAAAAAACTCTTTGAAATCTTTCTAATCTCTTTGAACTTGATAACACTAAATTTCATATCAAAATTTCTTTTTACTTATGTCTTTTTCACTGATTTATATGTTTTCAGGTTTTTATTATATGGTTTTCATCTTTGACTCCTCTAAAGGTAGAATTATGAATTTTGTATATGTAGATTTTTTTTTGCAATGATTTAAATCCCAAATTGCTGCATCCACTGTGATAAATTCATTAGAATATATAATTCATTTGAAGGGACAAAAAGTAATTAACATAGTGTTAATGAATTTTGGTTAGGAATCGGAAGTATAACTAAGTGATGCCAAAATGCTTTGTTGGTTATTTCCAATTTTTTATTTATTAATTTAAAATGTGAAAATGTTTACTTTATGGTTATGTTGGTGTTCATGTTTGCCTCAGAGTTATTAGCCTGGGCTCTATCCTCTAAGTTGGAACTTATTTAAGGGAGTGTTAATGGGAGATGAATTTATGTAGAGTTTATGGATTTTAAAAGTTTCAAGTTTAGGGCCCCCTAGTGTTACAAGCTACTGATAGGTTTATAAAGTTATGTGAATATGAAAAAAAAAATATATATATATATATATATGTTTACTTATAAAATTTGATCATAAATTTTCTAAATTGCAACAGATTTTCATGAATTTGTATTACATTTTTCTATCTTTCTTTTCGTAAAGTAAATATATGATTTATAATTTTTAAAACATGTTTGTTTTTAAAAAATAATTATTATTATACATAAATAATGTTATTATGATAAGATGAATATTATACTAATAACTTTAGCTATATTATGTCTGTTTTAGCAATTCAAATATTTTTTTAGTTTTTATTTTCTAAACAAAATAAAAATAAAATTACACATTAAAAGGTAAGTTAATAAAAATGTAAGGAATTATGATTTTGGACATATAATTAGGATCAAAGGTGAAATATATATTTGATAAGAATAATCATTTTGTTTTTAAGATTTTTTAATCACAGGAATTTTGAAAATCTCATGGATACATATGATATTTTGGAAGTTCTGTCTTATGGGTAAAAATGTAAAGAATTTATCTCTCAATAACATTAGATTTAGTTAGAATTAGAGAATCAATAATGACTAGACTTTTTGAACAACAAGAGATTTAAATAGATTTTGAAAATTCTTAAACTAATAACTGTAGATTTACTAGGATTTTAAAATTCATGAACCAATAATAAAGAAATATCTAAAATCTCAAAGTTAATTAGAATTTATCTCCCAATAATCCACCTAGTTCTTCTTTGAAATTGCAATTATCAGTGCTGAATTCACAGTTTTTAAGTTTCATCAGAAGTTTAAGTATTCTTTTACATAATAGTGTTTTTAGGCTTTAGATGTCCAATGTTTCTTTGCTTGTCTTTAATTGTTTATCGTTTTGTTCCGAAAGAAGTTTGTTGATGAACGGTTTATGACTCCAAAAAGATTTCGATCTTTGTTGGCTTTTGGTCCTGGAAAACTTTTAGTTGGCTTTTGTTTTTTTCATGTAAATATTATATTTTAAATGACACTAAATATCTAAAAATGGGAAAAATATTTTGACCAATTGTTAAAACAAAAATAAATAAAGCAAAATTATTTACAAGATTTTAATATAGCAAAATTATTTAACATTTCACACCATTCAAAGTAAATATACATCAAAATAAATGGGGTTTTGGAATCAAAATAAACATTTATGATAACAGCTCAATTCACTGCTATTTTAGATAATAAATCAGCATTGACCAAGATTTCAAATGAAAAAAAACTACTCTCATTATAAGTGTCACTTTAGTTTTATGCACACGGATTAAAGAAATAACTAATTTTGTATATTTTTATATAAAAACACAATTACCTATACACATAATTATATTCTAACCAATACAAAAAAATATATATATAATAAAATTAATAAATTTTGCATTGAAAACCGAGAACGACACTTATTTTGTAACCAAAATTTTTTTTTTGTTGTGACACTTAATATGAAACAGAGGAAGTACCGTCTTTGACTACGATATTTAAAACACGAGATTACAATTTAGCTGTCACATTATTGCTTATTTATGGCTTCGATTGGTAGAACGATGATAAAGCAGTAGTAATATGTTGTAGAAATGGAGGGAGTACCGTCTTTGACTACAATATTTAAAACACGAGATTATAATTTAGTTGTCACATTATTGCTCATTTATGGCTTCGATTAGTAAAACAGATGATAAAACAGTAACAATATGCTGTAAAAGTAATATGAAGATGTATGTTTTCCTTAAAAAAATTAATAATGTGATTGGCAAAGCACTAGTAATATACAGTTTTAAAGTTATCATAATAGTTACTATGATAATATATTTCTTTTAAAATAATATTTATATATTTATAATATATTTGTTTTTTTTAATAATGAATCTTATTCATTATATAAATTATATTATATTTTAGGCATTATAAAAAATATTATAGTTTATATGTGAAATATTATTATTTAAAAATGTAAAATTTATTTTAAAAATATTAATTTTTTTAGATATAAACATATTTTAATATTATTAAATAAATTAAGTATTTATATACAATTTATATATAAATTATTATTATTTTTTATGTATTAGTAAAACAAAAATGATTCATATATAAAATTATTATAAAAATTAATATATTTTATATAATTTATTTATTAGTGTCTAAATAATCTATATAATATATATTTTTATATCTATAATATACAAATATATATATTATGTTATGTTTGTTATTAAAAATAATAAACGGTATGTGTAATTATATAAATTATATTATATTTTAAATGTGAAATATTTTTCTTTAAAAAAAATTAATTATAATGTTTATTCTTATTCTTTTAAAATACAAATTCTATTGTTTTACTATAATAATATTTTTAATACTATTAAACAAAAATAAACTAATTATATATAATTATTTTTGAAGTTTATATTATATTTGTAAATTCTCTCCCAAAAACTCTATAAGTGACATTGAGCAAAGAGTATTTGAAGAGCATTAACATTTGGTAAATGTTTTTCTAAATGCTTATCTAATAAATATTGATTGGATAATAGAGAACATAATACTTATGTCAATGTTCAATTAACTTTATTTTCCAAACTAACTTTATTTAATAGATTAAACTATCTGTTTACATACAGTGATAGTCAAAATTATCACTATTACTGATAAATCTTTAATTTAGGAGGTTTGCCACTAATTAAACATAATTGAAGATTTGAAGCTAACCTTAACTGTAGAAAGTCAGAAAATCTAATAAAAATTATCCAAACAAAGGATTAGAGCTACACTAAACAGAATTGAAGCTAACCTTAACTAAAGAAGTCCCAACTATATAGGCTTCGCTTTCATCCCACTAGTATCAAAATAAATTCACGATAAATATTGCCTAGTAAGACTAAATCTTATTATCTTCACATTAAACTTACATATAATACAAAATTTAAATTCAATCTGTCTCATCAGTTTGTATAGTTTATTTGAAGTGCTATTTTTTTAGATAACTAGTTTACCTCTTGTACTGGTCAAAAGAACCACTACTACCAGTAAATCTTTAGATAATTTTTATTTATTTTTCTTGTTTTTACATTTTCAATTCATATATGTATAATGTTGATTTCAAAATAAATCAAACTCATCTATTTGCATAAATATCTAAAATGCTATTTTTAAAAAAAAAAATAAGTTACTAATCTTTAGATAATGTTATTATATTTTTAAATTTTTCATTTTTTTATATTTTCAGATCTTTAATGGTAAATACATAATTTTATTATATGTGATTTCTTACATTATCAATTTATACATATATAATGTTGTTTTTTTAAAAAAAAAAAATCCTACTTTTCTATTTGCATATATTTGTTAAATGTTCATTTTAAAAATTAAAGTTACTAATTTTATATAAAGATATTATATTTTTACATTTTTTATTTTATTATTTTTTAAATCTTTAATGGTAAAAAATTTCAACTATGTTTAGTAAATCTAAAAACCCCTAAACTAAAGATTTACCTATAATGATGGTGATATTGACCGATACAATAGATAGAGGGTTGTATTTATTAAATAAAATTAATTTATAGATTTTTCGTAAAATAATTTGGAAGTTTTTACCCCAAACAAATTTAATGGGAGTTATTGATTATAGTATTTAATGGATCTAGGGATTCTTTTTGGATTTCAAATTTTTGCTAAATTCAATGATTTTAAAATTAAACAAGTAGATTTCAGAATCAATGAAACATATTTCAAAATCAAATAATTGGATTATTATAAATCCATCAAATATATTCGTATTAAGTTCAGATTTATAGGAAAATAAAGTATATAAAAACCTACAACGCTTGTTTTATCATTTTGTATATCATATTTGTTTATGATAATATAAAATATGTCCACATATTTGTTGCTATTGTTGTTCTTACTTAATTGGTAAGTTCTCTTTGTTAATTTTGACTTACACGATTTTTTCACCATTGTTATTAACTTCTCAAGATCTTTTTTGTTATGAAAAAAATTTTCTTCAGGAAAAAATATCTATTCGACAGAAATTTATAAGATAATTATATAAACCGGCACACACAAGTAAATAAGAAAATGGAGGGCAATTTAAAATTAGAAACTGAGATTTGATATACCAAAATTGAAATTTTCTATCGTATCTTGTGTAACTTTTGTTATTGATATGAAATTAGGAAATTATTAATTAAAAAATGAAAATAGATAATTTAAAAATATAATATTTTCAAAAGTAAACATGAATTTGTGCTTACACATAAACACAAGTAAGATATGGTTGGTTAAATTATGCACGTATGTGAAACTTGGTGATTGCCTCATAGTGCTTGCGGCAGAAATGTTGGCAACAAATAATACAAATCTATCAAAATAATAAAGTTCAATTCAATCTTTATTTTATTTTGTATTTTGGCTCATAAATCCATTCAAATCAAATTTTAAATTATATTTTTAAATAAATCATTGTTATGAAATAACACATGATTTTAAAATATGCTTTAAATCATAGAACCAATAACAGTAAATTTAAATATATATTTAAAATCATCGAAGCTATAACAAGAATTTAAATAGAGATTTTAAAATCATAGAATAAATAATAGTAAATACAAATTAACCGCTTAAAGATGAGTTCAGCTGAGAACCCCTGGCTCTCCTCCGAACGCGCCACCGCCCTGATTCCATCGCAAGCTACTGCCGATAGCTTCCTCCTCCGTTACCCTCCCGACCCTCCCGACCCCATAGCTCCTCCTATTCCCCCCTCTTTTGATTCCCATTTTCCTACTCTTGCTGCTACTACTTCCTCCCCTCCTTTGACCAAAAAGCAAATTTCTCTCCTCAAAGAGACTGCTCCTTTGGCCATTAGATCTGGTTGTTTACCTTCTTCTCCTCCTTTTACTAGTCAATCATCTCCTCAATCCCCTGAGAAGAATGGATCTGACAAATCAACTATTTCTGAAAATACTGTTCAAGATATTTTCAAGGGTTTCACTGTTCTCCCTCCTAAGAAAACCTCAATACAAAACTCCAATTTTGCTTTCTCTGCGAAATCAAACACTAACCCCCCTGATACGACCGGATCTAAAACTACTACTCCTACTAAAAACCACATCCTCCCTACCCCATCTCCCCCACAGTCAGCAAAGCCATCAAACCAGACAAAAAATCCTACCAAATATATCCCCCTGCCACAACCAAATGCCCAAACTCCCCCAGTCATCCCCTCCCAAAACCTTCCCCAGATAACAAAACCTTGGGTCCAGAAAGCTAGACAACTAGCTGATAGGTCCCTGAAAAGACTAGCCCCTGTATCTTTTTCAGCCACTGGTATTCCTCAGGTCATAATACCAGATGAAGTGTTCATCCGTGGTGCGGAAATGCATAAGGAGTTCATCCTTGGATCCTTTCTTGCAAAGATGCCCTCTTACCAATCCATTCAAAGTGTTCTCAACTTCATGTGGGGTAAAGGGATCAAACTTGACATCCGCACTAATCAAAAAGAAAGATCAATTATGGTGAGAATTCCCAATGAATACATCAGGTCTAAGGTACTAGAAAAGAAAATATGGTATGTGGGTACTGCAATGTTTCATGTCTCTCCTTGGTCGGCCTCAGGTTCCATCAATGCGCTTGATCTAGCTTCCATCCCATTATGGACTCACCTCAAAGGCTTACCTCTCGACCTCCGAAGCCTTGAAGGTCTCAGCTTTGCAGCGGGCTTAATAGGAGAACCGATCGAGACTGATGAGTTTACGAAAAACTTAACAGATGTAAACATAGCTCATGTTAAGATTGAAGCAAACCTCACAACCGCTTTGCCTTCCCTGATCGAGTTGCAAAGAACAAGTGGTGAGGTATTCCCAGTTGAAGTTTACTATCCTTGGGCTCCCCCAACTTGCTCTTTTTGTCATCAGATAGGACACATTCTTAAAGACTGTCTTACTGCCCCCCCCCCCCCCCCCCCCCCCCCCCC